GGATGAGTGCAGTGGCATGATCTCAGGTCACTGCAACCTCCGCCTCCTGGGTTCAAGCAATTCTGCCTCAGCCTCCCAAGTAGCTGAGATTACAGGCGCGTGCCACCACACCTGGCTAATTTTTGTATTTTAGGAGTGATGGGGTTTCATCATGTTGGCCAGGCTGGTCTCAAACTCCTGACCTCAGGTAATCTGCCTGCCTCGGCCTCCCAAAGTGCTGGGATCAACAGGCATGAGCCACCACGCAGGGCCCATAAATGGGTAAATTTAAGCCGAGTATTCAGCTTCAAATATCTTTACACAAATTGACATTCCGTGCCTTGAAAGGGACTCAAAAAACTGAAAGCTTTCTACTGTGACCTGCCTCAACTTCAGATTTATCCCCTAAAGTCTCAGAGAGGAAAGAGCTGCCTAGAGACTCTAAAGGAAGGTAGAAATACAATACTTCAGAAATTGGAAGGCATTTTCTTTGAAAAAGGGATCTTTTCGCCTGAACTTCCCATTTTTGTTTGTTCTTTTTATTTCTTTTGTTTTGTTTTGGATTTTTTGTTTTGCCTTTAATCAACATGGACCTGGCTCCCCCTGCTGGAGCAAAAGTAAAACGCGGCTTTAAAAATCAATTCAGGGCCAGGCGCCTTGGCTCACGCCTGTAATCCCAGCACTTTGGAAGGCCAAGGAGGGCGAATCGCTTGAGCGCTGGGGTTCGAGACCAACGTGGGCAACCTGGCGAAACCATGTTTTGTCTTTACAACAAATACAAAAGTTCACCGGGTGTGGTGGCGTGCGTCTGTAATCTCAGCAACTTGGGAAGCTGAGGCAGGAAAATTGCTTGAACTGGGGAGGCAGAGGCAGCAGTCAGCAGAGATTGCGTCATTGTACTCCAGCCTGGGAGATAGGATTGAAACCCTGTCTCAAAAAAAAATAAACAAATAAATAACATGAGTCCTAGCTACTTGGAAGGCTGCGGTAGGAGGATTGCTTGAGCTCAGGAGTTTGAGACCAGCCCGGGCAAGATGAAGAGACCCCCATCTCTACAAAAAAGTTTCTAAAAAATAGCTGTGTGTGGTGGCAACTGCCTATAGTCCCAGCTACTCAGACACCATCTTGCTCTGGTGATTCATTACCATCGAATCTTTTGAATTATATCGGTAATCACTTGGGTGCTGAACGTCTCCTGTGTGTATAGCAATACTAAGGACCCTGGAGGAGGCCAATAAGTGCCTTGTTCCTCCTCTCAGGATCTGTGGTTTTGTTTTGTTTTTGAGAGGACAGTGGCACAATCTCAGCTCACTGCAATGCCTGCCTCCCAGGTTCAAGCAATCCTCCTGCCTCAGCCTCCCAAGTGGTTGGGATTATAGGCATGTGCCACCATGCCTGGCTAATTTTTGTGCTTTTTAAAGTAAAGACAAGGTCTTACCATGTTGGCCAGCCTGGCCTACAACCCCTGACCTCAAGTGATCCACCTGCCTCAGCCTCCCAAAATGCTGGGACTACAGGTGTGAGCCACTGTACCTAGCCATGTATGCTGCATATAGTGATTAGCATGATATATGACATACAGTAAGTCCTCTGCAAATGTTCATTTACTTCCTTTCTCACCTCTGAATGTGGCTTCTGTTCAGGGCTAAAACCTCTGATCCAGGCCTGATAGAACTTTTTTTTCAAATGTGTTCCTCCTGGCCTCTGCTAAACTGTCAATACCATGAGAACAGGAACCAAGTCTTATTCAAGCTCTATCCCTAGTTCTTAGGATACCTAGCACATGAAACACACTCAAAACATTTTGTTGAGTGAATGATGTCTCAAGGAAATTCACTCTACCCTTTGCTTGCTCCCATTGTTTAAAAAAAGGGAGGTGAGGCCAGGTATGGTGGCTCACGCCTATAATCTCAGCACTTTGGGAGACCAAGCTGTGATTGTGTCACTATACTCCAGCCTGGGTGACAGAGAGAGACCCTATCTCAAAAAAAAAAAAAAAAAAAAAAAAAAAATGAAGGTGAAATATATCTTCCTATGACTTGTTTTGCCTAATCTAAGTGGCTCTCAATAAATGTAAGTTACCTTGCTTCCACCCCTTCTTGTTCTTGTATCATCATTGCCCTTATTTAAAAAAACAAAAACAAAAAAAAAACTTCTACGCTCTTCTTTTCTTTTTCTTTTTTCTTTTTTTTTGAGACAGAGTCTTGCTCTGTTAACCAGGCTGGAGTGCAGTGATGTGATCTAGGCTCACTAGAACCTCCATTTCCTGGGTTTAAGCAATTCTCCTGCCTCAGCCTCCTGAGTAGCTGGGACTCCAGGCATGCACCATCATGCCTGGCTAATTTTTGTATTTTTAGTAGAGATGGGGTTTCGCCATGTTGCCCAGGCTGGTCTCGAACTCCTGACCTTGTGATTTGCCTGCCTCAGCCTCCCAAAGTGCTGGGATTACAGGCATGAGCCACTGTACCTGGCCTCTTCTACCCTCTTCTATTCAATTACTGGAGGCCTGCAAATTAAACTGAACAAAAGACAAATTCATAAGAGACTTTATGCATGCAATGCACATAAGTGTTGGATTGTTCAGTGTTGAGTAACAAACAGGTGGTTAGAACTTGTGGCTTATATATCTAACGTAGGAGGGGAAGGAGGAGGAAGAAAAGACTCCCATGGGAATAACAAATAGGTTTTTAAAGGAAATACAAGTGGGTTTTTAAGAGAATAAATGGGAGTTAAGGTTTATGATAATATTTGGCCATATAACTATGTGTGGTCTTTTTGCCTTCTTCAGGGCCGTACAACTTTCCTGGAGGGCAGATTCATGGTAGCCTCATTTTTCAGAAGTTGCTGCTTTTAGTCAGATAAGGGAAGCTCTGAGAAGGATTCTTTATGAATCTATTGAATCTCAAATGTGTTCTGCTTACAATAATCTTTGTACTAACTCTGGGGTTCTGAGTTAATATAAAGGTTCTCATACCCTCATGAATATGAAGCTATTTAAATCTCTTGCTGATATCCAGATTCTACTGCCTGTACCTTCAGTATTCCTCTAATAATCTATTAGCCAAATAATTTCAAACTTACAAAGTAATTGGGGAAATCTATCTTGAAACATGAAACAAAGAGGTATCGAGGCCTTTAAATATGTTAAATGACTGTGTTCAGACCAGACAAGAGTAAATTCAGGAGTTTCACAAAGGGAATATTCCTTAGGGTATAGAAGAGGTAGAGGAGGTTTTCTGCAGTTGATAGGCGCAACAATTTATTCATGCATCTTAAGACCTGAATTGCTAGGCAAAGTGGCACATGCCTTTATCCCAGCTACTCAAGAGGCTAAGTAGGGCAGGAGGATGGTTGAGGACAGGAGTTAAAGACCAGACTGAGGCCAGGAACAGTGGCTCATGCCTGTAATCCCAGGACTTTGGGAGGCTGAGGTGGGAAGATCAAAAGGTCAGAAGTTCAAGACCAGCCTGGCCAACATGGTGAAACCTATCTCTACTAAAAACATAAAAATTAGCTGGCCATGATGGTAAGTACCTATAGTCCCAGCTGTTTGGGAGGCTGAAGCTGGAGAATCATTTGAACCCAGGAGGCAGAGGTTGCAATGAACTGAGATTGTACCACTGCACTCCAGCCTGGGCAACAGAGCAAGACTCCATCCCAGGGCGGGGTGGGGTGGTGGGGTGCAGGGAGATGGGGTGAAGACCAGCCTGAGTGATATAGTGAGACTCTGTCTCTAAAAAAAAAAAAAAAAAGCAGGACAGGTGTGGTGGCTCGAGCCTGTAATCCCAGCAGCACTTTGGGAGGCTGAGGTGGGCTGATCACTTGAGGTTGGGAGTTCGAGACCAGTCTGACCAACATGGAGAAAACTGTCTCTACTAAAAATACCGAAAAATGTAGCTGGGCATGGTGGTATGCACCTGTAATCCCAGCTACTCAGGGGGCTGAGGCAGGAGAATTGCTTGAACCTAGGAGGAAAGGTTGCAGTGAGCTGAAATTGTGCCACTGCACTCTAGCACTCTAGCCTGGACAACGAGAGTGAAACTTCATCTCATTTAAAAAAAAAAGCAAACTGTGTGGTACTCACCCTCACGGAGTTCACCCTCTAGTTGAGTAGACATATAACCACCAAATGAATTAAGCTAATGATGGCAGAATATAGTGAAGAAAGAAAGCAGGGTGCTGTTTATATATGAGGTAGCGTGGGCAGGAGACAAGAGTCAGCTTTAGAGAGGATGAGGGTTAGAAAGTTTCTCTGTGTAGCTGGCAAGGAACTGATAAAAAGGAGTCTGTCAGGAAAGAACATTCCATGCTGTCAGAGCAGCTAGTGCCGAGGCCCTTGGAGGAAGATTTGGCAATGAAGAGCAGAAGGAGTGGGGAATAGTTTAAGAAAAGGCAAGGGTGGCTGTGGTTGCAGGATGGGTTGGAGAACAGAAGCAGTGGAATACAAAGAAAGAAACAAGGCCAGGCACGGTGGCTCATGCTGTAATCCCAACACTTTGGGAGGCCGACGTGGGCGGATCACCTGTGGTTGGGAGTTTAAGACCAGCCTGACCAACATGGAGAAAACCCATCTATACAAAAAATGCAAAATTAGCCAGGTGTGGTGGCACATGCCTACAATCCCAGATACTTGGGAGGCTAAGGCAGGAGAAGCGCTGGAACCTGGGAGATGGAGGTTGCAGTGAGCCGAGATGGCGCCCTTGCACTCCAGCCTGGGCAACAAGAGTGAAACTCCATCTTAAAAAAAAAAAAAAAAAAAAAAAAAAAAAAAAAAAAA